GCTGAGAAAAGATATTTACAGATTGATGAACATCTTTTAGAACATGGAGTTTACTTGGAGAGTTAATTCTCCATACATCTCTTTCTTTTCAGGTGTTACAGCACTGTGGTGCGCTGTTCGAAAAAGACATGTAGATGGTGTTATGATGCTGTTGTACAGAGGTGCTAACGTTAATACTCAAACACGGGAGTTTGGCACTACTCTGCTTCACAATGCGGTAGAATATAAAAATATGAAAATTGTTGACTTACTATTAAATTATGGAGCTAACATTAATGCTAGTAAAAAGTCAGGTATAACTTTATATTGCAGCTGAGAAATAATATTTACAGATCGATGAACATCTTTTAAAACACGGAGTTTTATGTTAATGCGACATATATCTTTTCCTTTACACCAGGTGTTACACCACTGTATCTTGCTGTTGATAAAAGACATGTAGACGGTGTTGCGATGTTGTTAGACAGAGGTGCTAACATTAATGCTGTACCATATAACAATTATTGGTTGTACTTTTCTGAACACTGGTATTGGATACAAGTTGCTGAGATTCTTAAACAGCATATAGTTAAGATGAAAACTGCAAATTTATTTGTAAGTGAACAAATATTATCAATGTGCAGCAATTATGAAAAAAGAGATTTACAGGATAAATGTGAAAAAGAAGTAGCTATCATGAAGAATGAGAAAATTAGTAATACTAACATATCATTTTACGATATCTTGATAAAAGATACAAATCTAGTAGCAATATACATGAGTAATGAAAATGTAGTGCAGGTTTTAAGATCAGACGAGTATAAGACAAAATTTCCAATATACTCTAGCATGATAAAAAATCAGTTCAGAAAAGGTATGAAAAAGAAAGAGTTGCTCGAACAAGGCACTGAAATTTTCTATTTGTTGTTTAACTTTCCTAAGTTACCACTTGGGTGTATTGAACAAATATTTAGTTACTTAAGTGATAATGACATAAGAATTTTAATAGATACTTTTAAGTCCCCTAACAGCACTGATATATTCTGAAGTACGTACTGAGTAAGTCGCAGTCCGTATATTGTGATCATCTCAGTACATTCTCATACGTACTGCTATCAACTGAGTACGTACAACGATCGTACCTATGTCTGCGGCACCATCTACTGTAGAATTTTGCCGCGAATGTTCGCAGCGTATGGAAACAGTTTGAAAACAGTATGAAAGCGGGAGATTTTAGAATATCACATATACACGCACATATATACCCAGCAAGCGCGTGCGCTCACTGAAATAGGAAATAGTATAAGTTAGGTTAGATTAGGTTAATAATTTGTTGAATACGTTTATAGAATTGGAGTATATACATTTTTTATAACTTACTATATATTTTCCTAATCACATATATTTTTTTGACTTATAATATATATTTTTCTAGTCACATATATATTTTCATAACTTACAATATATAATTTTTATAATCACAAATCAAATGTTTTCAATCACATTTTGCATTCAGGAGAAAATTTTATAAGTATAGTAATATTTAATAAGTTTAGTAATTAGTTGTATGGTTCAACTATTTTCATACGTTAAGAATAAAATTAATTAGTTGGATGTGATAAAATATATCTCTAAATGTCGACACATTAAAGATTGATAAAAAAGAAATTAAGTACTCTGAAGCTAATACATTCTTCGCTAAAAAAAAATAAAATTTCTATATTTTACATGTATGTTTTACTAAGTAAAAATAAATAAAATAACTTTAGTAAATGCTTCTACTGTAACATATATGTATTTCATATTGAAACGCACTTTGCTACCTTTTTTTTATGTAATGATCTTTATCCAAAGATAATTAGTTCAAATACGTAACAATCACTGTAATCATGCAAATCTAGTCCTAATCTTAGCATCAAAAAATTTCTGGAGAGTGGATTGTTACAGAAAGGAATCATTGTTTCCCTTCTGTATCTTGATCTTTTCTTTTCTTTTCTTCCTCTCGATAGATGCGTTCCCGGGCATGTGCCAACCATATTTTACTTGTATAAGACATCTGTTCATCTTTCGCAGATTCATGTGCGTTTCTTAAAACTTCTGCAAAACCAAATTTTCAAATTACTTTCTTATCGAAGAAAAAAATATTTTTATTTTTTGTCACAAGTTTGATACATAATTTGATTTAAATTAAGAAGTAATAATTAATTGTATTTTTTATATATTTATATAAATTTGATGCACAATTGAGAAATTAATATTCTTACAATCTATTTTAAAATTTTTCAAATTTCTTATAACAAAAACAAATTAACAGTATTAGTATTTACAAACATTCAAAATCAGAAAGAATTTTGGCATTTTGTAATATTAATAAAGAAGAAATACATTTTTTTTTTAAGTCTTTATTTCTTATTATTGCACTTATTTAAAATTACTTTTCACCATGGAAATAAACGAGGGAGCGTTGTCGAAAACAGATGAAGCTTCATAGACATATATACCTAGATCCAGCATGTCGTATATTTCTTAATGATATTCGTTGGGTTTGGCAGAACGGAGAGAGAGGCAAAACATAGGGGATATCTCTGTCCTTTTCTGCGCGCGCATAATGACAGCATAATGACAGCAATGGCCGACAAGTGCCCAAAAGTATCGTCAGATAACCTTTTTTGGATAAATTATACGCATAGACATACTATCATATGTCTATGATTATATGTATGTCTATAATTATAAAACACTATAATTAGTTTAAAAATAAATAGTTAAAAAATAAAGACGTGTGCTGTGCATGTGGATATTATAAGAAGACTAACGAAAAAACAAATATATCTTTTCACGTGTAAGTGAAACATTTTGTCTTATTTTACAATCCGTATATATATAATATATATATTTAAAATATAATACATATTTTTTTGTATATATATATGTATTAATGTAATTATAATATATTATAGTTACTGATAAANAAAATAATTGTGTTATTTATGGAATTACAGCTTTCCAAAGAAAGATAATATTCGACAAGAATGGATTATGGCAATAGGCAAAGAAAATTTTAATCCTAATGTAAATAGATTTTTATGCAGCCAGCATTTTAAAAGTGACTGCTTTTATTATTCTATTGGTGGGACGAAACAACGTGTATATTTAAAACCAGGATCTATACCAAACAATATTTAATATTCCTCATTATTCCAGGTATAATATTAGTAATTATTATTATTAATGTATCTTACATCGTTTAAAGGTAAATAATTAATTGCATANATTACATAACTAAAAATAAATATCTTCCGCAATAGTGTAATAATTTAATAATAATTTAAGAAAATTTATTATTAATAGCAAATCAAAAATACCGGTACAACAAAGCTTAACTAATTGCATAGTTGAAAACCATAATACAAAAGTTAAGTTTGGCACTGAATGTTTAGAAAGAAATGCAATAGAGTCAAATATTGAAACATGTGCCAATAACACTACAATGGATAGTATGATAGCATGGCAGATAGAANCTGAAGACACGTATAAGTAAATACAATATAATATAAAACAATCACTGTATTTGTACCTCATATCAGTTTTATTAAGACATTGTTGTTATGTATACAGAGAACATCCTGCACTTTCGAAGCATAAATTGATTCGTCAAGGAAATCCAAGATATGTCGGCGATTGTACTCCTAACGATTTTCAGTCACTACAAAAGGCTTTGCGAAACTGAAAAATTGCCGTAACTTATATTGATGCACAACGTAAAAAAATAGCAACGTTACACAAACAGAACTATCGTTTAAGAAAAAAAGTTACACACCTTGAAGCATTAATAACACATTTAAAGAGTAAAAACTTGTTATCAGATGATGCTGCAAGAGTTGTATCTGTAAGTTTACTATGACTGCTGTAACATAACACTTTTCATCGAATTTAATTACACTGAAATTTTTAAAACTTGTCAATCACAATTATTTTTCTGAAGAATGAAATGAGTGTGATTGATCATCACTTTGAATTATCAATGTTATTAAACTCGATTAAGAATGTTGTGTAACAGTAGTCTGTATATAATATTGTATTTATGGAAAAAATACAATATTATAAACACAATGATGGCTATAAATATTGTATTCATAAAAAAATACAATATTTATTGTCACCATTGTATGTGGTAAACACAGAGATATCATTATCATTCTAATCAACGTAACAAAAAAAGGAAATTTGATTTTATTCTTGAATATAGGTTTCACTATCCGAGGCGAGTAAAGCGATTCTTAATAGACATCTTAATAAGAAGAATAGAAAAGAATTTCCCCAGATTCTTAGGACATTTGCCACTACTCTACAATTCTATTCCAATAGAGCATATACTTACGTGAGAAAAATTTTTATGAATTCTTTACCACATCC